CGTCCTTGCTGGGGAGATGCTGATGAGAAACTCTGATTTTCTGTGGGCCAGCCTTCTGTGAATTCATCTCTAAATAACTCAGCCGAGTTCTCATGTGGCCTCTCGGGGGATCCCACAGAACTGTTTGCAGTCCTGAAACAAACCACTGTTCTTCAGTTTTTTGTCATCTCAGGCCACATGGGGGAGTGGGGGCAGAGAGGGGCTCTCTTTGGCCTGAATGCTGTTCAGCCTGAGTGGCAGTGGGAACAACATGGCCTGGGTACCCTGTCCTACAATTCTCATGATCCTCGGCACCTTTAGGTGACACTGCCTTTTCTCAGCCCTTTCTGAGGGCAGGGTTCCATGCCTGAGCAGACAGCCTGACACCCTATTTGTTCCTTTTCTGTTTGTCCAGCTTATCTCTCAGGATGAGGCTGATCGACGAGGGAAAGTCTATGACAAATACATGTCCAGCTTCCTCTTCAACCTCAACAATGGTATACTACTTGGTGTCTTTTTTGTCCTCCCAAGGTGGTTTTATGCAGGTCTTTCTTTTGGAGGAGGGCATTAGGTATTGAACCCAGAGGTGCTTTACCACTGAGCTGCATCCCCAGACCTTTTTATTTTTTATTTTAAGACAGGGTCTCACTAATTTGCTAGGTTGCTGAGGCTGGCCTCAACCTTGCAATCCTTCTGTCTCAGCCTTCTGAACCACTGGGATTACAGGTGTGTTCCATTATGCCTGGCTTCTGCAAGTCTTCCTACCAAGTTGTGCTGTAGTTCAAGTTCAGATCACCTCCAACAGATGCAATAGAGCCTGGTCAAACTCAAGAGACCCTGCAGGCTATGGTTCACTTGATTTGGGAGGATCTCCATTTTGGGTTTTTTTGGAATAGGAACATTGAGCACTCACATCTCCGAAACCTCCTTACCCATCATGGCACTATGGCATATACCTGTAATCCCAGCTACATAGGAGGCTGAGGCAGGAGGATCACAAGTTGAGGCTAGCCTGGGCAACTTAGTAAGGTCTGTCTCAAAATTTAAAAAGAGCTGGGGATATAGTTCAGTGATTGCCTAGCGTGTACAAGGCCCTGGGTTTAATCCCAGTACCAAAAGACCAAAAACAAAACAACAATAACAACAACAAAAAAAAACTTCCCTACCAAATAGATGGATGGGAAGACATTAGTAATTCAAACCAAGATGGGGAACCTAAAGAGAGAGTGTCCACATGAAGCAGAATTTTCAGATTTTGGTGCTTTACACATATCCTATTATCACATCAGGCTTCAAATTTCTGTTGCACTAAATTGTTTCTGTTACCAGTTAGTTAACTGATTTTAAATTCAGGCTAAAGAAGTGTGGAGTTTCCTGGTGCCCTCAAGGTCTTCTTTGATTTATATCATACAGATTTTGTAGTGGATGCAACCCGGAAAGGAAACAAAATTCGATTTGCAAACCATTCGGTGAACCCCAACTGCTATGCCAAAGGTGAGTCCTCAGTGACCTTGGAGGTGGGGTCAGGGTGGACACTTTGTTTACTATGATTTATATTTATGTTCAGTAGTCATAGCTACTTTTTGATCTAAAGATAATCATGATTAATATCTGGTATCATTTTAGGCCCCCTTCTCTCTCCTCTTTCTTCCTCCCTTCCTCTGCCTTATCTTCTCCCTCCCTCTGCCCCATCTTCTCCCTTTCTGTATTATAATTTTTTTACACTGACTATAAAAAACACTTCCCACAAACGTGATTTATAGGTAATTCTTATGAAGGCCTGGTTCATCCCCAGAGCTTAAAAAAAAAAAAAAAAAAAAAGGCTGAGTACAGTGGTACACATCTGTAATCCCAGCCACTTGGGAGGCCAAGGCAGGAGGATCACAAGTTCAAAGCCAGCCTCAGCAAGTTAGTGAGACCCTGTCATTAAATAAAAAATAAAAAGGATTGGGATGTGGCTCAGTAGTTGAGAACTGGGTTCAATCTCTGGAACTAAAAACAAAGGTAATTCTTTCCATGTATCACTAGCCAGAATAATAGCTCCAAAAGCATAGAGAATGAACTACTTTCATTGACTACTTGTTAATTCCATCTGATTCCACTGAGAATGTAGAGAAAGTTAGCCCAGAATCCTCCTGAATATTTACTTGCATTGATTAGAAACCTAGCCTTGGGTTTCTCCTATTTGCAGTGGTCATGGTGAATGGAGATCATCGGATTGGGATCTTTGCCAAGAGGGCAATTCAGGCTGGTGAAGAGCTCTTCTTTGATTATAGGTAAGAAGGTCAGCAGTGATCCTTGGGAGATGGCCCTGGAGGCAGAAGAGGTGGCTGTGGGAATTGATTTGGGGGGCTTTCTATGGGTACAACAGATGAAGGAGAGGGTCTGAACACCTCAGAAAAATATTGTTGAAAACTGCTATTAGGAAGCAGGAGGGGAAGTGAAACGGGAGGGGACCCCATCTTGTAAATAATTTTTTCTTTTCTCCTTTCTACTCTGGGACAGGTACAGTCAAGCGGATGCCCTCAAGTACGTGGGGATAGAGAGGGAGACCGACGTCCTTTAGCCTTGCTGTCGCTGTCATAGCAGCACTGTCTTTGCTTTCATACACACACCACTGCTGCTTGAGTTCCTGCACTGTGTGTCTTCCACGCCGAGAACCCCACCCACTCCCTCTGTAGCGAGGCCTCAGCTGTGTCCCACAGGCACAAAACCATCTCAGTGAGAGGGGAGCCAGGCAGCTAGGGTTTGGTCTCCTAGGAGAGAGTTGCAGAAGTGGGAGGCTGTTTCTCAGGCCTCAAAGGAGGGCACGGGCCAGGGCAAATGACTGCTTGATTTTTCCTCAGCTTCCCAAGCTGCAGGCCTCAGGAATCAACTTAGGCAGTTCTGAACAGGCTCTGTCTTTTAGCTTTCCCAGCCAATGGTCCTTATGAAATTGGGTGCCAGGCATAGCTGAGTGAAATCTGGTCTCTGGAGCCTACAAGTGCTCTGGGTTAGAGGTGAGCCTGGCAGGCAGCACACACTGAATTCAGAGGGAGATGGGTCACTTTCCTACCTCTTTCCTCTGGCAGGGTCCAAACCAAAAGGGTGTGGGTTCTAAGCACAGGGATTCAAGGCTAGAAGAGGGAAAGCTAAGTGCCACCCTCCCATGGTCAAGGGGAGAGCCAGCTTGATGACAGCAGTTAAATTGCCAAGCGTGGTCCAACAGATTTTGAGAAAGCCTTCCTTGTATACTCTGGAGGTGAATGGGTAACTGTTTTCAGATTCCTGGGAGCAGGTGCCAGTATTCCTTCCAGAATTCTAGCTCAGCAACTGTAGGCAGGCATTGTGCTGCTACTGACCAAACGTGGGAGGCATGTCTGGCAAGAGAGAGCACTCTGGTCTGCTGGATCTGTAGTTCTTTTTAGGCCTCTGTGTTCAGAGAGGCCAGAGTTGCTTATCTCCTCAGGGTAGAGGGGCCCAAGTAGATAGACTAGAGGGAAAGGTTGTTGGTGTGATTTACTTCCTGTCTGTGGCACCTGCTGTTTAGAAAAGTGGGCTGGCAGTATGTGTTTGCGGGTGGGTGAGGGGCACAATTGCACATGTAGGATGGCAGCACAGAGCAGGGCAGACTGGCAGAGGGTATTGCAGTGTTGAGAAGAAGCAGGCAGACCACCTGTCCCAGTCTATGGTGTCATTCTCTCTGGGATTCATGCAGAGCAAAGCACTTTATTTCTTTAGAAGTTCTGTAGATTGGGGTTGAGTTTAAGCCAAGGCCTCTGGGGTCCATGCCCAAATCCCACTTCTCAAGAGAGGGGAAGAAAGGGGTAGAAGAATCTCCAGTCTGTCTTATTTTCTAGGGGAGGCAGGAGGAGCTGGCGTGGCACAGAAAATTTATTAAACTGGAGCTAGCAAGAACTGCCCCATGTCTGTGGCTGGCGTGCTGAGCTGGCTGAGCTTTGTGCTGGGTAGAAAGGACTCAGGTGGGCAGGTACAGACTGGCCTAGGGAGTGTTAGGATGGGGAGCGGGCATCCCCTCTTCTTCCTGGGGAATCCAAGCCACTCTTCCCTGTCTGTGCTGCCCACTCCCTTACTCCCACCCCAGTAGTTGTCCCGTGGAAGAAGTGAGGCTGTCTCTGGCCAAGTTGCCTCTTAGGGATTTGTGTAGAATGTGCATACACACACACACACACACACTCACTCACACTCACATAATCTCACCACAGTAGTGGGCACTGCACTCAGCACACACCCAGCCAGCTCCCAACGGCAGCCTCTCCCGCCTGGTTGGGGCAGCCCTCACCATGATTCCGAAGTGTACACCTGCTAGTGGTTTGTTGTAGTCATTGTATTGGGGATACCCTCAAGCTGACTTACTCATTATTGGGGAAAACCAGAGACATATAAAGAAGGAGTCAGGTCTATTTGAAATGTCAGGGGCTGGTGGTAAGGAATAGATGACAAAAATTTATTTCCAGATTTTGAGTTAGACTGACCCCCACCTTTCCTTCAGCAAGCAGAATCACTGGTCAATCCCCTTCTTCCCCAGCTGCAGACCACTAATACTTATATTCCTCCAGCATTCCCATCCTTTGTCCCTGCTGTCCCCTACCTTTAATGACGGGTCTCAGCTTCTCCCCCCCCACACACCTAAGAATTGACTGTGCAAGGTGATGGGACTTGGGGGAAGGCTGGTGTACATGTGGCTTTATTGCCAGTGAATTTCACGCACTTTAAAGTCCTGTGGCTTGTGACCTCTTATCTAATAAAGTGTTAGAATCCATGTTGGCAAGTTGTGTAGTGTGTGCTTTGGGACTTGGAAGGACCCAGGGATGGTGGGCTTCAGCATTCTGATCCCCAGTATCCACAGAGATCAAAGGGGGAAAGTGGGTGGTCATCATGTAAGAGCCAGTCAGGCCCCTGGCAGGTGGTGCAAAGATTCTGAGAACTCTGCCTAAAAATTCCTGAGCCCTCAGATTAGTTCCTTACAATCACCCCATTTATCCCCTAACCACGACGACAGCCACCACACACACACACACTGGGGCTCTGCCACTCTGCTTTATTGGACTGGCACGTAGTCAAGGGCACAGCTGGCTCCGCCCTGCTTCAGAGTGGAGGCCAGAGAGCGGCCTGTGAGTGACCAGCCGCACTCATGAGACATCTGACACAGGAGACGCTCACTACGAACTGTGGGCACAGCACAGCACAGGACAGGACAGCCGACTGAATTTTTCTTTTATATATAAACAGATAATTTTAAAAAATTAGAATAATATAGAGTTCCTCTAGAGAGAGACTTTGCAACAAAAAATATATATAAAGAATATGACCTCCTGGGCAAACAAAGAAGCATCTTTGAGCGAAGGAAAGAGGGCTCCTCATGCATTGGAGAGGGGGCCGAGCCGTGGACAGGCACCAAGGCTATTGCATATCTTGGAAAAGGATAGAAAAGCAGAGAACTGGGTAGGCAGGGTGTCTGCATTATTTTCTCTACATTGACTGCAAGGGTTTTTATGGCTTTGGCTAAAGCATGTGAAGCAGCGGAGGTACTAAGGTGCTAAACTGAGGCCTCTTGGTCTCTGTGTAAAAACAAAAAGAGGGGTGGAGGACGGCAGTGAAGCCCTCCTCACCCCCAGCTGAGAGGAAGCAGATGGAAGACTTTCTGCAGGGCAGGGGGCAGGCTGGGGGATGTTGTAGCAGCCTCCTTCCCCCCCCCTCGTGCCCTGTACAGCCCTGTGATTCTACACATCTGTCCCTGCTGATAATGTACATGGATGGGAGGCCGCTAATCTCCCCTACACTCTGTTGTTAATCCCTGGCAAGGGCTGGGACAGAAATGGCAGGAAGGGCCTATCTCAACCCCATGAGGCTTCTCTTTTGGAGCAAGCAAACACCAGGGACCTGGGGAAACAAATGAGCAGGGCATTGGTTTAGGCAGTGAGGCTTGGCCACTCCCTTTGGTCCCATATGTAGCTCTGCCCACCAAACTTGGCAGGAGGGGTATCCTCTGGATGAGCAGAGCCAGCTAAGAGGAGCCAAATGTCCCTGATAGGGTGGGGGAGAGACAGGAATTGGGGAATCCAGAGGAGTTGGACTTGGCCCCTGAAGCCCTTCTCCTGATTCATTCAGATCTGGATTCTTCCAAGATCTGGGGTAGGTTCTGGTCCCGGGGGCCTGGACCAGAGGCAGGGGCAGGGGCAGGGGCAGGGGCAGGGGCTGGAACTTGGGTGGGAGCTGGTGTGGGGGTGGGAGCCTGGGCAGGGCCCGAAGTAGGGAGGGGAGGTTTGCTGCCAGAATGGTAATCATGGGTGGCCTTGGGCTCATTGGTGTGATAGGAGCCCTTGTAGCGATGATTTTGCAGATAGAAGAGCACCAACATTCCCACCAGCCCCAGCAGCAGGAAAGCCACCAAAACTGAATGAAAGAAAAGAAACATGGGGAAAGACCTTTGGGGTTCAGCTGTACATCACATATAGACACATACTTTTGGCCAAAAGCATTCATGTAAGACTATACAACCACAATAAGCTGTTAGATAGGTTGAGTTCTTGGTTTATCCTCTGCCAACTTCTATTTCTGATATTCTCTTTTCACATCCCTGGTATTACCCCAATTTCTAATCTCTCTAGATGTATACCCCTATTTATTTCCTCAACCTTTAGCTATGGCTGCATTTTAATATTTCAATTAAAATTCTATGGTGGGCTGGTTGCGGTGGTACATTCCTGTAATCCTAGCAGCTCAGGAGGCTGAGGCAGGAGAATTGTGAGTTCAAAGCCAGCTCATCAACTTAACAAGGCCCTAAGCAACTTAGCTAGATCCTGTCTCTAACTAA